CTTCTGCTGCTGTTTCTGGCTCAAAAGTGGCTTGACCTGGGGAATGCGGCACCTGTAGCCCATTTCCTGCGTACGCCTGTACATGGTGGCTCTGGATGTTTCTACTCAAGACTCAGTCCACTGCTTCCCAAGGTCCCTCAAGGTGTGGAATCGGTTTTTCTCCACAATCTTCCTCAGGTCACCTCTTCTCGTTGTGCAGCGTTTTCTGCCACACTTTTTCCTTCCCACAGCCTTCCCACTGAGGTGCCTTGATACAGCACTCTGAGAACAGCCTATTCATTCAGAAGTTTCTTTCTGTGTCTTACCCTCTTGCTTGAGGGTGTCAATGATGGCCTTCTGGACAGCAGTAAGGTCAGCAGTCTTACCCATGATTGTGGTTTTGAGTAATGAACCAGGCTGGGAGTTTTTAAAAGCCTCAGGAATCTTTTGCAGGTGTTTAAAGTTAATTAGTTGATTCATATGATTAGGTTGATAGCTCGTTTAGAGAACCTTTTCATGATATGCCAATTTTTTCTGAGATAGGATTTTAGGGTTGTCATGAGCTATATGCCAAAATCATCAATATTAGAAATAATAAACGGTTTGAACTACTTCATTTTAATGTTTATCCATGCGTTACAGAAAATAATGAACTTTATCACAATATGCAAATTTTTTTAGAAGGACCTGTATATGCACAGAGAACATCGAAGAAGTAAAAATCAAGAAAAGTGACTAGCGACTCGCTGAAGAGGATCGGAGTGTGTCTGTGACACAGTCGAGGGCAATGCCGAGTTCATCTAGATCTGTAAAGTGGAAAACCTTATACCTTTCAGAGAGTTTGGCAGATGACTGGTTATTTCAACTTTGGCTGAAGTAGTGCTCATTATTATGAACCCACTATGAATTTAGAGTGTCAGCTGAGCGCGGATTCATCCACAACAGCATTTTAACAACCATGAGTCTGTCTGAGGCAAAGGTCCAGGACCTCATGACTATATCCTCTTCAGCAAGCTCCCTAGAGACATTTGATTATGCGCATGCAGGTGACCAGTTCAGGTTTACGTGGAGCAGAAGGAATGTGCTTTCAGGCTGCAGCAGGTGAAATGTTCCTACTTTAAGTGAAATTGTTTAATTGCATTGTTTACATGTTACTACGCCACTCAGTTCTTTATTCCGTTTTACCGTCCGTTTATTTCATTCATAATTTTTTCATGCCTGGAAATAGTTAAATGTCTGTGGTTTAAAATGCAGATTGTGGATTATTATTGCTCAGGAGCTTCTGAAAGTCATAACTTTGTGTGTTGCAACACAGATTTTTTTCCCTTTCTGAAGATGTCAGTGATAAAAAAATAAGGAGAAAATCAATACCGCCAAATGTATAAAGAAACACACACACTGACACTGTAACTAAACTTTGTCTGGCATTATTAACCTTGCATGAATGCCTGTGTGCTGGAAAAGTTGTGTCCGATTGTGTTAAAGGGGTGTGAAGAAGACACACACATACACCCACACCCATCACTTTCACTGTGTTCTCATCTCCCTGCTCCCCCCTTTCCTCCATCAGGTTGGTGAGATTAGATTGGTCCCATCCCGGCAGACCCAGTGGGATTATGCTGGGCTATGAGGTTTTACGACGAACCCTTAGATCATGCACGGATGGGTCAACAGGAATAAAACTATCCTCAGGGACAGATTCGGGTGCTTTAAGGTTTGAGTGTTCCTACCTGCAGTGCCCTGTGGGTCACAGTGTTTGTGGGACATCCTGCTTTCATCCTGACAAACAGGTGATTCTTTTTCTTACATAACAAACTCGACACAAAGGCCTTTATTTATGTTTTTTTTTATTCTACCTGCTGCACTTTCAGTTTCCATCTCTTACTTTTATTCTAGTCTCTGATCACTGTTTATTTCTCTTCAACTCAGCCCTTTCTTTTAACTAAACTTGGCACGGGTAAACATTAAATCCCTAACGTGTGCAAACAAGACAAATACCAAAGGTCTTTCTTTGGCTGCTCATTTAACGTTAAGAATATTTTCCTTCATGTACACCCTCAGTATATTAGTCTTTTGCAAACACTAACACACAAACACACACTGAAAGAGAAGCAGACCGCACTTTATATGGAAAGCATGATCAGTGATTAATTTTTTTAAACAGATTAACTTGTCATCTGCATTCACTTCAACCCCTGTGCTTTTGAATGCCAGCCAAGTTAACACGTGAAAATGGACACACATGGCTTCCAGCGGCACTCATAAAAGCAGTGCGTGTTTGTGAGCTTGAATGTAACCACTCTAAATACTTTACCTAGTAATTTTTTCTCCAACCAGGTTTGCTGCAGCGGACAGCTGCATGCTGCAAAACTACACCATCACTGCTGTGATGGCAGTTATTTGAGTTTGAGCAATCACTCCAACCCTGTATGCTGCAATGGCAAACTTGTCCCATCTCTCCCAGAGCACCAGTGCTGTGGAGGATACTATGTTCTTGTAAAAACCAGTATGTATTCACACGCAGACCAGATTCATTCTGTTCCACTTGACTTAAGTCTGCTCTTCTTCACGTTGTTCAAGTCTTTCCTTCATCTGTCCTTGTCTTTGTAGATGAATACTGCTGTCCTGACCACTTACAGGGCCGGGTCTCAGTGGGGCCAGGTGACAGCTGCTGTGGGGGGGTTCCTTATTCTGTGACAGGCGGCCAGCTTTGCTGCAGTGGGAGTCTCCATGATGGCTATGGGGTCCAGTGCTGCGGAGGCTGGGTAGTGGATGACAAGCTGGAGTGCTGTGGTGATGCAAAGAAGGGGGGTGTACATAAATATAAACCAGGTGAGTTATTAGAAAGTCCTATCATCAGGGGAGGACCACCAGGCTGTGCTTAAGTTCTCTGTTTGTCACTAAAAGAAAAGTTTGATGGAGCTAAATTAATTCTTGTTTCAGGGAGCGGTCTTCATTTTTAAAACAAATCGGTTGCTCAGAAAACTAGTTACTCAGGCGCAAATAAGTGGTTTAGTCAAGGTCCCATTCCCAGTGGTATTTTGGTATATATGATGCGAGGTGGATGATGGAGGAAGGAAAAGGATGAAAAACAACAAAAGAGAGGATAGGGAAGGGTTGAGAGGTAGACACATGGTGCAGGAACGTGGGGTCGTTTCCCTGTCCTCCACTCCCGCGGTGTCCCAAAGCACTCGGATACCGTTGCACAGATGGGACTGTGTGTGTGTGTGTGTGTGTGTGTGTGTGTGTGTGTGTGTGTGTGTGTGTGTGTGTGTGTGTGTGTGTGTGTGTGTGTGTGTGTGTGTGTGTGTGTGTCATTAGACATCTTTGTCATGGCAGATGATGATGAAACACACTCAGGATGGCACCGTTGAGGGCACTGCCAAGCACACAGCAGGAGAAATACACACTCATTCTTTCTCCCACACCCACATAGACGTATTACAGCCCCTCTCACCCCGCCCCCTCCCACCTCACCCATTCACTCACACACAGAGTCAACAGGGTGCCCCCAGCAGGGTTTGCTTAGTGTTGAATGCCAGAGACAGACACGTGGCCTCTATTCATCACACATAATCAATGGCCCCATATGGGGAGGCCTGTAGTACTCCATTAGTCTTAAACAACAACACTCACACACACATACAATATTTACATACATAGAGTAACTAAAGAAAAGTTATCACAAATATTTTACATTATTTCTTGTCAGTTGTCATTTCTGTTCTCTAGCAGTTTTTATGGGATTCTCATTAGTAAGATTTGTACTGTTACTATTTTTTTTACTAAGTAGTTATTCAAATGGAAAGATTAAAGTCTCATCAGTTGTCACACACACACTGGTGTGGTGAAAATTGTCCTCTGCATTTGACCCATCCACATGGAGAGTGGGGAGTCACTGTGGCTGCACTCAGGAACTATCTGGGGGTTTAACCCTCCAATCCATCCCCTTAAAGCTGAGCATCAAGCCGGGAGGCATTGGGTCCCATTTTTAAAGTCTTGGGTAAGACCTGACTGGGATTTGAACTAGGGTTGTGACATTTGTGTAGTTTTTCACACTGCCAATTGTCAGTCCAAAAAATAAATGATGGGGAGTTTATTCGTGCATGTGACGTCGTGATGCATAGACGGATTTGCGAACACAAAAGAAGCACAAAACACAATAGAAGTGCAGTGCACATGTTTGCTGGAAAATAAATTTAGATTTTTCTTTTTGCTTAATTTTGTTTGTAGTTTGGTAGAGTGGTGTATAAACGGCCAGGATTAAACACGGTTAAAGTGTTCAAAGGAAGCCTCGTCTTTATTTCCCTGTGGTGCCCACCATGGTAGCCTATTTTATTTAAGTAAAATGTATTTTTTCTGTACAAAGGCTACTGGGTTTCTTTCTTTTATGAGTTTGAGTAGAAAATGAAATTAATCGCTGCTACGTTAGGACGCACTCTGAGGAGGAGCGTTTTCTCGCAGCCAGAGGTCACATGATGCTTTTATCCCCGTCACTTTCATTTAATAACCATTCAATACCATTACATTTCCATTCTTTTTAATTAATATTTAGTCCAAACAAGCTGATCAGAGTGCCCCAGTGACATAAACAATGTAATTAAATGCTTTCACTTAAAGTAGGAACATTTCACCTGCTGCGGCCCGAACGCACATTCCTTCTGCTCTGCGTAAACCTGAACTGGTCACCTGCAGCTTGTGCTTAGTCAAATATCTCTAGGGATCTAGGTTAAGAGGTTATGAGGTTCTGGATTTTTGCCTCATGCAGACTCATGGCTGTTTAAATGTTGTTCTGGATGCATTTGCGCTCCACTGACACTCAAACCAGGTGCTGAATAACGAGCGCTACAAAGTTTTAAAACAGGAAACATTTCTCCAAATGAAAAAACCAGAAGTCTTCCAGACTCTCTTAAAGACAGAAGGATTTCCGTTTTCCACGCAACACCTCGCTGCTCTGCACAATGTCAAGTGCGTCACAGACGCTCTCTGACCTCCTCAGCGCGCCGCTTGCTCGCCCACTGTCAGCAGCGAGAGGTGGACGAGGTGAGAAAAGGCTGAGATGCACTATTGGAGATCTTTTCTTGATTGTTACCTCTGCGATGTTTTCTGTGCGTAACGTGTTAAATATTTGTCGTTAAACTAACTCACGGGCAAATGAATAAATATATAAACAAATCGCCTCCTGGAAAAACACAACCGTAACAGCTCAGCCAATGGTCGATTCATTCGTCCCATCGCCCAGCCCTACTTTGAACCCCGATCTCCCAGTCCCAGGGCAGACGTTCCCACCATTAGGCCACTGAGCTCATTCTCAACAAAGTTTTTTATTTATTTGACCCATTCACACTTTTTAAGTCATTTTGTTTCATTGTTGTTTTTCTCTCATCAACAAGACCCCCCTTATTTTCTTCCAACTGTGCAGGCTATGTGGTCATCCTTCATTTTTGACGAGGCCTCCTGAGGAGTGCATATGCTTCTTACTCAAATTCTTTCATCTTTCTCTTTTATTTACTTCCCACCTCATTTATCCCCTTCTGTCATCTTCTTTGTCACCTTAAACTTTCTTCCTAAACTCCTTTTGGTTATTTGCTTAACCTCTCGCTCTTTCTTTCTTCTTCCGTGCTTTCTTCATTATCTCCCTTCTTTACCTCCACTCCCCCTTCCTTTCACTCATCAGTCATTAGCGTTAGCTTCCCCATTGAGAGCATATGGTATGATGGATTGTAGAGCTAGCAGCGCTAGCAAGGCTAAGGGCCATTTGCCGGGTGCAGTGCGCTGTCGGGGAGCCTTGGGGCCAGGGGTTCAACCTCAGCACAACTGGTCTGTTTCAAGATTGTCACAGACACAATGTGCAGACAGTGATGCCTGTTATTAGATAGTCTAAGTAACTTTGGCACTACATGCTCATGCTCCTCCCAATCACATCAATTTTTCATTAATGTATTTGAAAGTTGTTAAGTTTTGATCAATAGAAATTTCAGAAAGTTAAAAAGAGAAAATGCTTTTGAGAGGGTATCACATATTTCTTAAAATGTTTGTTTAAGGTGTAAGTTGATCAAAAAAGGATGCTTTTCTGAGTTAAATCTCGTAGAAAAATTTACAACAAAGCCAAGATCATAATCAGAGAGGTTTAAAAAAGGATTTAAATCTTCTTAAAAAGGCACAAAACACATCAGATGAATGAAGCTTTAAAAAAAGAAGAGCATTAAAGCGTGCAGAAAAGAAGAAAGCTAGATGAAGCAGATTAAAGGAGGAGTGAAGGGTATCCCATTGTGCCCAGCTGATAGACTAGGTTAGGCTGATGTGATTATGGGGTCCCTGAAGTGCGATCTATCACACATTACCATCCACACTGTCAACAACCATACACACACACTGCAGGGGAACAGCAATGCCTGGAGACAGCTGTCTGGCAACAGAAACACATACCGAATTGTGTGCATGTGTGCGCATGTAGATAAACATGCAACATTAAAACCAAAGCACAGCAACAGTTAAATGCCACCATTGCAGTCATGTTTCTGGTCCATGATAATTTACTATTGTGTATTTGTTTTTGTAATGTGTCAAAGATGGCCAGATTTGCCACCCAGTCGGCCACTTCCAAACCAAACTTCCTTCCTGCGTGTCATTGTTCTCATTCAGTGAATCAGAATCAGAAGAGTCTTAGTGCCATATGTGCGAGAACTCACAACATTAGGAAATTGCTGTGGTACTTAGAGCAACAAAGGATAAAAATAAGAGAAGTAAGAATTTTATCACGATAAATTTATAATATAAAGTAGTTTTTATTAGAGAAAAGGCTACTATATACTAGACAGTGTGGGTACTGATCAGAGAAGAACAGTTCAGGTACAAACACAACACAGGGTCAGGTGACTGAAACCAAGTGACTGGAGTGGGCAGCACTAGGATTGTCATTCATGAGTCCAACTGCATAGGGGAAGAAACTGTTCTTGTGGCGTGAGGTTCTGGTCCGAATGGATCTGAGTCTCCTGCCAGATGGGAGCGAGTCAAAGAGACTGTGTCTAGGGTGACACGGGTCAGCTGTGTTCCGGCCTGCATGCCTCAATGTCCTGTCCTGTATGGAGGGAAGTTTGGAACCAATGACCTTCTCAGCAGGGCACACAATACTCTGCAGCCTCTTCTTGTCCCTGGTGGTAGCTCCAGCATACCACACGGTGATTGAGGAGGTGAGGATGGACTCGATAATTGTGGTGTAGAATAGGGCTGCAACAACGAATCGATAAATTCGATGAAAATCGATTACTAAAAGCGTTGGCAACGAATTGCGTCATCGATTCGTTGTGTTGCGCAACTCTTCCAAAAGCCCCCTCCCCTCCCGCCCGCCATTGCGCGCAGACCGGTGGAGAGCCGGCAGGTGTTTGTAAGAGGAACATGGCAGAAGCAGCGAGACCCCAAAAAAGTAAAAACTTCTAAAGTTTGGGAGCATTTTCAGTTAAATCAGGCAAAGACATGCAACGTTTGTAGGTCAGACTTAGCATGGCACGGGGATACTACGGTGATGATGCAGCGTCTGAAACTCAAGCATGTCAGAATCATCAGCGAGGAAGGAGAGAGCTCGGTGTCCGGGTAAGTAAAAAACTTTTCAAAAGTGATTCACCCAAGCCCCGGATTATTACACAGGCTAGACATGCCCTAAGCTCGTAAAAAAGTCTATAAAATTGTAAGCGCGACGCTATTAGATAGGCGGGGGTGGGGGTGGGGGGGGGGGGGGGGGACTCGCGCCGCTGCAAACCGGTTCCGCCGTCACATTCCCGCAGAAACTGGTTGATCACACCGGGGCCAGACTACTAACATGTGGCTTTACA